GGGATCTATTGCAACTTAAGCAACGTCTGCTGCTGCCTTACCTTTGAGAGACAACTGATGCGTGATCACTGAAGCAGTGTTGCCAACTAATTTTCAGGGGAAGTTGCTAAAGGAAGGTTTATTTGTTGCTAAAAGTTGCTAAATGACGCGATGTCATTGCGTAATCACGATGCAAAATTGTCACTGCATCAAATCTCAGCAAAAAATATAAACAAATTTATATATGTTAATTTAGATGTGTTTATAAAATAATATAAATGCATAATATAATATTAAAATATAAATAAGAAATTTTAAATACAACATTGAATTCTTAAACACTCACATTTTTTAACACATTTTAAGTTTATTTTTATTAGCTAGTAAACTAGTAAAACTGCTCATTCTGGACAATTATACTTTTAAGCAGTGTATTAGTAGTTAGTATGCTACACTAAGAAAAGTCTGTAAAAATAAGGCACAATCTACTATGTTAATATGAAAGAATTTTCCGTAATGTTTTTTTTACCTGTATTTTAAATTACGCATTGTGTTTTCGGGTTACAGGGTTACAGAGGACGATGGATAATGGATAATGTCCTGAAAGATTTTCCATTTTCCTTACAGTGTACTAACTGATCAACAATCGCAGGTACAAGCTACTAACAAAGTGTATCATAAATGAACAATTATTCAATTATCAAATTATTCAATTATTATTATTATTAAATTGAACAATTGCAAATAGCCGCTAACTCAATTCTCGTGATGTGTTTTTCTTTTATTTTTTTATTGCAGTAAACAACAAGGATTACAGTACGTACAAAACAAACAGTAAAAAACAGTACGTACAAAACATACAAAATACCAATCAATAATAAACTGCGAGATGAACATCAAGGAGCACTAAACACTCATGCAGCCTGTGTTTCATTCATACTCGGAGCCGGAGGCGCTCTCGCGCAGGAAGTCATACCAGGAAATAACTAATATGGACAAAAGCGTTCCGCTATCACTGTATGAAAACAGTTGTTTTCACAGAAAAACAGAAACGTTTGGAAACATGAAGACATTAAACAAACGATTGCGACAATATATGGTTTATTTGTGTTTGTCAAGTCATCTCCAGGTAATACATAAAGTATAAGAATAATGCAGTGCTAACTGACATAGCATTTATTACAATATAGAAACTATTCTGCCTTGTTATGTGATAAAAAAAGTGTTCGTAGTATATAAACAAATTATTATTATTGGTCACTGGTCAAGCCAATTAAAGCTAGAAATGAGAGAAAAATTAAAGTTGCCTGTACACTACCAGTCAAAACTTTTTGAACAGTAAGATTTTTAATGTCTTCTGTTCACCAAGCCTGCATTTATTTGATCCAAAGTTCAGCAAAACAGTAAAAATTGGAAATATTTTTACTAGGCTATTTAAAATAACTATTTTCTATTTGAATATATTTTAAAATGTAATTTATTGTGATTTCAAAGCGAAAT